GATCGCATCCAAATCCACCAAGATCCAGATTTGGATCCAAAAAGTTACATGGGATTTGGATCTGAATCTCTTCGGATCTAGAACATTCAAAACCAGCCCCATTCAGATCCAAAAAAATTATTTTATATAATATTGTCTATAAAATAACATATAACAAAAAATACTATATAACATATATGTATATATGTAAAGGGATTGTATACAATAAAACTATTTATCTTTGCAACAGGGAGGTAATCGTTATTTATAATCATCCGATGTGAATTCTGATAGCTTGAATATGTCACCAAGTTCGAGAAAATTTATTTTGAACTTTGAGCTTGGTCAATGAAATAAATGCAGCGGCCTACATATAATGGTCAAGATTAATTGTGACCATTTTGTACCAAAGGCAAATGGTCTCATTATATAATTTCTCATATGACGGTTTCTATGCGGTCTTCCTGCATATTGTTGAAATGCAGGCTTCGTAATAAATAGTAATTTTTAAATATCATTTGATCCTAATTTTTAGAGAATATATTTTAACATAGAGATCATGGACATGAAAAATATAAAAAAATTGGAAACTAGAAATAATAATTATATTAAGAATATATTTGGACTGTTAGTTGCATTTGTTTTTAGATGCACCACCTATTTACATTCATCTCTATGATGGATCTGGACTGCATACTGTAGAAATACGGTCCAACCCGCATGAAATTTTTTTCCAAAATAATATATATTATACTAAAAACTGGGTCGGATCCCGATTGGATCCAACTGTGCCTTGATCCAATCCGATCCGAAATACCATTCGGATCCAAAATTTTCATCTAGATCAAATCCATACCCAGATCAAGAGCGGATCCAAAATCGGGTTTCGGATCCAAACGGGGTATATTCTCAACCATAATGCCAGGAACCCTAAATCTCATATCAAAAAAACCATAGATCTAGTTCCCCATTGCAAATCTAACTCTAGGAACCTTAGATCTAAACCCAGTACTACCCTATGAAATTAGAGCATACAACTAGAATCTCAAGAACCCAAGATCTAGGTCCCGTACCAAATCCAGCCATTGGAACCTCAAATCTAACTCTAGGAACCTCATATCTGGAAATTAGATATAAGCCTACGATCTCTTGATCTTACCCTAAAACTCCCAAATTTTCCTATAGAAATGTTAAATCTACGACGTTTAGTCCACAAAACCAACAATCTAAGTCAAATCTAGTCGTTTTGCTTCATTTTATCTCATATATCAAACTAAGTCCACTCTCGTAGTTTTGACACCCATCCAAATTTCTTTCATCGGTTATTATACTATTCATTTTCTTCCTTTTTATCATGAATCTATGAGTGGACATGGGTCGGGTCGGGTCGGGTTGGGTTGGGTCAGGTTTGGCCGGATCTGGAACCGGAGCTGACAGGCTCGACCAAAAACTAAAAGAAATATATATTTAAATGTTATGTTAAATATATACATATATTATTTAAATATTATAATTGAAAATATATAGTTATATTTCTTAAAATATTAATTAAATACTATTAAAAATATTATAAATTAAATATTATTTGTATAATAATACTCTTCGAGTCGGGATCAACATGGACCCGGACCCCAATAGTGCTCGGTTCCAATATTTGGACCTAGACCCAGTCCCCCGGGTCCAATTCTTGGACCCATACCCAGACCCGATACTTCAGGTCCTAGATCCATTGCCTGCCCAACTTGAGTCCCCTTTAATTTCTTAAGGTTTTTAGTATAGTTTATGGCCACCTCCTTGGGGCAATACATCAACATATTTTTGGTGAGACAGTTTTTGTAGGTCCTCTTACCCAGTGTTATCAATTTCGCTTCACTTTGGCCAAAGAGGCGAAAGCCTTCGGTTTTTAAACATAAACCAAAGCAAAGAGAAGTGTGGTATTGTTGCTTTGGTCAAATTCGGGCCGCTTCAAGCTGGTTCGGTCAGATTCGGGTTTGCTTCGGCCGAAGCTTCGGGCCGCTTTAGTCAGAAAATAAATACCTATATAAAAGTAATTTTTAAATATTTTTAAATTTTTTAAAAAATTTATTTTTAATTTTTTCATTAATTTTTATATATTTTATATATAAATATCTAATTTATTTACATTAAAAAGAAAAAAAAATTCTATGAAGTCTTCCCCTAAATTGGATGAAACACCGAATTGCTTCATTTTTCTCACCAAACCGAAAAAGATCCAAAGCGAATCTGACAACTACCCGAAAAAAATAGTTTGCAAAATAATTGACCAAATAACCCTGTATGTTTTAAGGTTTATTTGGTAAATTTTATTTTTAGAGTATATATATATATATATATATTTAGGGGCACCTATGTGCGGCATAAAACAATTAAAGAAAAATTCATTATCCATCCAATTGGTATAGAAATGAAATTGAATTTCTATGTTAAACCCTGGCCTAGCATATTTTTTCTGTCAGATTTGAATCATTGAATGAAACTTTCGCACGCTTCCATTATCTACCTACTTAATGGGGACGCTATATTGTTTGTGTATCAGATTTTTGTGATTTAGATGTTAATATAATATGATTTTGCACTTTTTAATCACCCAGTTTTCCATAAAAAGGAAAAGGTACGGTTTTGTATAGAGCCGGGGCTCTAAACAATCAAAGTAAAGCCCACCTTCAAATAGTATCGAGAAATATGGTTTCAATATTGAAAATCTTTCTGATAGCCTTCAAATATTTTTTCACTTTTAATTATAAAATTTAAAGTGTTAAAAATAGTGTAGATCGAGCATATCTATGAAAACGTGAATTTTTTTTAAAATTGACGGTCTGAAATGCATTACAAGATACACTATTGCCATCACTTGAAATCTATTTTTTTCTCATGTCTATGCATCTTGATGTCGAGATGATCAATTTGAGGATATTTGGGCATCAAAACAACCTTTTCTAATATGGACCACTACTCTTTTTTAAAAATAATTTGGGAATGGGGTTGAGGTCATGGTGGTAGTACCACTAAAGCCTCAGCTAAGCCTCAGCTAGTGGTCTAAGTTTCCAACCCACTTACACATTTGAAAAGTACAATCTATTTCTAAAAACAGGTAGGGGCGTGTACCCCCCAATGATCTACCCAAAAAAATTAAAAATGACCCCCATTGTTCATTGAAGAAATACACACTTAATACTTCGGGCATGTTTGATGTATGGAGGATGCAGTTTTGGAAATCCGGTCTTTTAGTATTGTAGCTCTTTTTTTTTTTTGGGTAATTTGCATCTCACAACAACAATGAGAACCGCATGGGACTCAAAGTCGGGCCCAAATGGAACCTAGCATTAAAGGGGTAAGCCATCGGGGATTTGGGCCCCTATCGTTTAGTGATAATGGAATCCAAGATTTTGTCCATGAGGGACGATGGAACTACCACCAAGGCTCCAATCCATTCTTGTATTGTAGGACTTCTCTATTTGATAATGGGATGTTTTACAGTAAAATGGATACCGCAGTATTTACTTGCCTTACATTTAAGACTAAAATGTGGATACTGCTAGTTCTACAGGAGACCAACGAACTTGGGGTCTGCCCTTCCCTGGATGACATGGTTTCCAAAGCCACATGTTCCACAAATCAAGCATGCCTTTAGACACATGGTAGCCTCAACCCCTAGGACCGGATGGAAGGGTGCCATACCATGAAGTTTGTAGTTTCATTCCTACCGAAGCCTCAAGTTGAGATTAGATAAAGCTTAAACACACGTAATTATGAGAAAACAAACGAATCATTTGGAAAGGATGGTAAATTATGTATACTGAAGTACAAACATGTGTCCTTAGAATTTAGATATTGAGTTCTTGCCTTTATTATAATGTTCTTTACCTTTTATTTTCGGCATGTTGTTGGTTAGAAATGGGAAACATGGTTGTTGTGCTGCCTAAACATCTTAGGGATTGTACGTTGTATACTTGTTTTTTTGGGATTGTATATTATAAGATAATTCACTTTTGATAGAAGGAAATCTCATGATTCTTAGCGATTGGATATGAATCTGACAAATTGATGTCAAACTATTCAATAAATTTTATTTTGGAATCTGTGCACAATGAATGACACACTTCCAACCACCGGATTTCACATCTAATTGTCAATAATGATTGTGATTTCTTTATAGCAAAATAAATGATCTCATTCTATGTATTTCCAATTTATTATTTAATATATACAAAGGTTATCAAGGAACTTAATCATTACATATTAAATCAGGTCGCTAGGGGTTTGTGACAAAATTTGAGAATTTATTTTTATGAATTTGAGCACAATTGGAGACGCAACTCCGACGACCGATTTTCACATCTAATGATTGTGAACTTCTTGTATGGATAGCATATGGTTCTATTTTATACTTTTCATCATCTTAAGTGGCTCAAAATTCCCATTTCCATATCTATTTACTATTTCGTTTTAGATTGCAGAAGGAAATTATGAATTTTTATTAACTTTGAAACTTAATTTTTATGAAAATATGTACAATGAGACTATTTATTTTTGTATAAGGAGATCACAACCATTGCTAATAGTTAAATATAAAATAGGGTTGTTGGGATATGCCATTAACTGGGCTCAAAGTAAAAAACAAAAACGTCTCGAATGTAAGAACACACTCATTTTGTTTGATTTCACATTAAATTGCAAAAAATAATTTGTCACCTTTATGTAGTAAAAGTAAATAATCTTAGAGTGTAGCATCCCAATTTATATTTGTTAGGCTTGGCCGTAGTTATCAATGACGTTAATAGTAGTCGTAGGCACAATGACAAATATTGAAGTCAGAATGTATGAGAGTTTGAGGGGTTAATAATACTCCTTTCTTGTGAAAATCATGGAAAAAACAAAATTTGAACAAGGAAAACTAGCAAAATAATAGGAAACTTCAAATCACACCACAGGTCTCACAATTCCATGATATTTCAAAGACAATAGACATAATACACTTCCACATTACAAAAATTTCAAAGCACATCCACAAGACTCAACTCTGTGAGCTTTCAATGATGGTAGACATAAGACACTTCCACATTACATAGGCTGACGTTTCAAAGCAACTTCACAGGGGAAGAAGCGCAAACCTTATTTTGAGTTTTATGAGAAAAAAAGCACTCCTTAGATCATATGTATATAGAAAAGAAGTATAAAAGCCTTAGAGACTAGTAACATTCGTATAATTTTATGTTCACTTTGAGTCGAAAGTAAACCTCTCCCTCGTATGCATCTGTACTTATAGTTGCCACCCCTCTAGCCATGAAGAAGTCACCGGTGCCACCCACCACTGATATGTCACGGGTCGTTTGCAGTAAGGGATCGGCACCGATGAAGTTAAGTGTCCCCAAGTAGTTTGTTGAATTGAGGACAAAGCTGAACCCTAGCCACGCTGTGTAAAATTCTTTCTTGTCATAAAAGTACATGCCTTGTGCTCGACCCACTGGAGGTGAGTGAAGGTTGTTGTCTAGAGTTATTGGGTCATCAAAGACTGCCAAGTCTCCGAAGTGGTTGTTTCCTGTGAGCTTAGTAAGGTTAGCACCCTGTGGTGCCCCAACTAGTGTAGCAGTCGCATTTTGCGCATTCGTTCCGTCGTAGATGATGTCGTGGAAGTAGAATATCAATCTCTTACAAGGTTTGTGCACACTATGTCGCTGGTGGGAAGCAGCACAATGCAAAATAAAGAAGAAAAAGACAATGGAACACACATCTACATCACTCCTAGCCATTGTTTTCACAATTGAAGAATGGAACTAGAGCACTGCGCTTGAAGTTGGACAGTGGAGTACTTTCTTTGTTATGCTTTTCTCTTTATATAGTTCTTTCTTCAAAATTTACAGTCTCATTTCCATCCACAATTGAGAGTTCACCAGTGTTAGTGGATCCAATGAATTGGCTTGGGGTTGATTAGCTGGTAATTTCGCTATTGTAACACTAGGTCCCCATTTCCATTTCCACCGAGAAATTTCAAAAAGTCTTTGCCTTGCTCATCTATTTCTATTTTGATCTGTCCCTCTTGATCATTTTAAATAAAAAAAAAAAAATGGGGGTTTTGGGGGAAGAGAGAGGGGTGAGATGCAATTGACTTGACTTGTTACCTGCCCCACCACCCCTTTAATCCTTTTGAAGGAAGACAAGGGCATGACACCTAACTACCCCCTGATTTTGTAGAACAGAAATTTCCACAATAGATGGGGATGAGCTAAAACTCTACTCCATGTACTCTTTCTTATTTTCCACTTCTGCTGGTTAAGGCTCTCTACTTTTAGGTTAAAACTTCAAAGTAGAGGAATAATGCACATAATAGGTGAAGAAGCTTGCACTCTTGAATGTGAAAAGTGACCTTTCTCCTTTTCTTCTCTTTGATATTTCTTTCTTTCTGGTAGGTGACCGCTACCAGAAAGCTAGAGGTTGGGGAAGCGTAATCAAAGAGAACGGAAGTGGTGGTGAGGTTTATATACCATGAGAATGACAAATCAGTAAAAGAAAGTCACAATGGCTAGGGCCATCAGACGTGAATCAAGTGGG